GCCGCACCCCGCCGCACCCCCGCGCCGTCGCGGGCCGCGTCACGGGCCGCGTTTTCGGGCACGCATAGTGGTCTCACCCATAGCGCGCTCTCCCTCCCACGCATAGCGTGCCCATAGCGCGTTCTCGCTTACGCGCACGCGGTCTCCCTCGCGATCTCACGCATAGCGCGTTCTCCCTTCCACGCGTAGCGTGCCCATAGCGCTCTGTCGCTTACGCGCACGCGGTCTCCCTCGCGCTCCCACCCGTTGCGCTCTCGCTCTCATGCACGTCGCCGCCATGCTTACGCGCACGCGGTCTCCCTCGCGCTCCCACGCGCTCTCACTCCTACCTGTTGCTCGCACCCTTTTCGCTTCCGCGCTTTCGCCCATTGCGATATATAGGGTTTTAGAAAAAAAATGTACAAGTATATTTATAAATACTTAGAATATATTATAAACCCAAAAAATATAGTTATTACAAATATATAAGAATCACCAAAAAGATATATATAGTTTTACAAAATATGTATAAAATGAAATGTATAAAGTAAAAATGTCTCCCGTTTGGGAACGTTACATTCGGTTCCTGAGATGTTCCCTCGAACGCCAGGGGGATCGTCGCGAATAACGCTTTTCGTGGGGATGCGAATGCCGGGGTGAAGGGCGTCCCCTCGCTTTCGTAGGGAATTGCCTGTGATGCTTTCCGTTCCTTCTGCCCCTTCGCTTCAAGGTGCGGGGGCGTTCGAAATTGCGAGAAGGTATGACGCCTCCTCGAATGTTGCGTTTAAAGGGAGGCACGTAGATGCCTTCTCGAATACAGCGTCGTTTCGCGACGCGGTGTTCGATGGCTCTGCGTTCAAGGTCGCTGCTCGCGGCACTGCTGCTCGCGGCACCGCTGATGTTCGCGCAGCAAAACACTGGGGGATCCTAATGACAGATGAATAAAAAGAATAAAAAAAGATATCTCTAGACAGATAATCTCTAGATTAGTTATACTTACTCGTAAAATGCACCTCTGCAGGAGGTTGCACAGCGCGATCGTGTCTTCGTCATCGGACGGCACCAACGGGGATGGTGACGGTGGTTCCGACGAGGACGACGACGGCGACGGCGACGGCGACGACGACCACTTGCTTCGGTACATGTCGGTTTGCAGTTGAATGACAAACTGAGACTTGTCGCTCTAGCAAAATGACGAATCGAGACTGCGCACATGTGCGCACATCGGCGTTCTTTTTG